ACACCCAGCGTCCTCGTGTGAGGATGCACATTTCTGGTCAACTCAAATTTGCTGCTTTTGCTGTATTTTGACATCCTAAACGAATCATAAAAACAATATTTAATTCCTGTTTGCGCGGTGTTTTCGTCGGCGGATTCTCTGTTCTCGTCTCGGCCGCGCCGAATCCCGTGTGTGAGTCAGTAATCCAGTCTTTGAGAAAAGCGAGAATGATCTTTCCATGAGAAACAGTCCAGGAGTGCGATTTTTCAGGACGAATATTATTGCTCATTCTCTAACCTATTAACGTGCAGCGTCCTCATGTGAGGATGCGCATTTCTGGCCCTCTCAAATTTACTTTTTCTGCTGTATTTTGACATTTTAAACGAAATATATAAGAAAGATTATTTTCATTCCAACTTACGCGGTCTTTGTTGTTTGACTAGGTCGCGCGGAATCTCATTTGAGTCAGGAATACTGTCTTTCTGAAGAGCGAGAATTATATAGAACTTAAAATGAGGAACAGTTCAAAAATGAGATTTTTCAGCACCAAATATTAAAGGCTATTCTTTAACTGTCATTCGAAACATGGGCGCAAGCTGATTTTGCCTGAAACATCATTCTTACAAAGTAAAATATAGTTTACCGAATGATTCTTTCAATTCTTCTCTCTCACTATCATTATTCTTCGTTTTGGAATTACTTTGTTTGCAGTGTCTACATTTATTCTACAAGTCAATTCAGATTTTTCTAAAAATATTATTTATTTAAAGTCGCTAGCCAACAACAACGGGGTCTTTAGCGACCACGAGAATCAATTTATAATTTACACAAGAATATACATTTTTTTACAGTTATGCCATTATACAATTACATACAATTCATAAATGCATATAAATGGACAAAATGCATTAATATGGAGGGTACTTACATAATTGGGATGGATGCACATTTTTATTTATTTACATTACACAAGCTTTTGATATTAACAACATATTTGAAGAATTATTGTGTATGAGATATAGGTAAAGGAGGGTCTTTATATTAAGGTATGTATTTTTTGATGTTTTTAAAAGTTGTAAGACTTTTATACATTCTTATGGGGAAGACAAGGAATTATATAGAG